TAAAAAGATCCTTAGATGTGGAGTTGACTAGGTTGGAATTGCATTTTTGCACTAGATTTTCAGAAGTGTGTATATAGAAAATAATTTTTTATGTACCTTTATTTTTTCTTCCCAGTGTATTCCTAAAATTTGCCATCATTCATCTTCAATCTTAACTCATTTGTTTTATATGCCTCTGCTTCCCGACACTCGGGTTAAGAAAACAAACATTTGCCTTCAGCCATAGGCATCCACAGAAGAAAATACCAACTAAAACATGATCAAAAGTCAACTGAAGGAGAAACCGAACAGATTGGAATTCCTCGTGGGTCCCCTCCTGGTTTCTTTCAGGGGCCCCAGGCAAGTGAGCATGTGCTCATTTGTATGGTTGACTAAATGGCATGCTTAGACCCCAAATTTGCATCTCTGCTTGGGTTCCAAAGTGGGTCCCTGCACCAGTTTTCTTAGCTTCTGTTGTTTCCCAGTCATAAGCTAAACCCCTTTGGGAGTGCTACTCACCAGGGTACATTTTAGCGCAGAAAAGCAATCATTGACTGGGCCCCATCCTCCTCTAGTAAGGGGAACAGCCAGCTGGTATCGATGTGGTGGGATAAGGTAGGGGAGAGGAAGGGATGGAAGAAGAAATAATTTCCAGTACATGTGAACCAAAGGCTCTGAGTGGTCTGTCCCACCCTGCTCCCTTTCCAAGGGAAGAAACTCACTATGTTTAAGCAGTAGCCTGCTTTTGTCCTTCTGTCATCTTCTCAGACCTGAGCAGGGAGGCGGGAGGGGGCTTAAAAGCAAGCTGTGCAGGTTTATATGAACCATAAATTTCTCTGCGACCAATTTATCAGTAAAGCGGGAATCAGATACTTGCCTGGCCTAATTCACTGACTTATTAGGAAGGTTGTAATGATATTTTGAGAGCATTAAGGTCCAGGAACATAAATTTTAGGGCTCCAGTACATGTGAACCAAAGGCTCTGAGTGGTCTGTCTCACCCTGCTCCCTTTCCAAGGGAAGAAACTCACTATGTTTAAGCAGTAGCCTGCTTTTGTCCTTCTGTCATCTTCTCAGACCTGAGCAGGGAGGCGGGAGGGGGCTTAAAAGCAAGCTGTGCAGGTTTATATGAACCATAAATTTCTCTGCGACCAATTTCTTTATCAGTAAAGCGGGAATCAGATACTTGCCTGGCCTAATTCACTGACTTATTAGGAAGGTTGTAATGATATTTTGAGAGCATTAAGGTCCAGGAACATAAATTTTAGGGCCAGCATGTGGCATGGAGAGTAAGGGTGACCACGAGGCTCAAAGTACAGACTCATTGGCTTGAACATTACACCGGGCACATGTCCGTACATGCTCAAAATCCTGAGAGAGAAGACGGGGTTGGAGCATGGCCATCCTCTGTGGGGGGATGGAGTGGGAAGAACCTCACTTTCCTTCTGTCTCCATCTCTTTCTCTATCATTCTATGTCTCTCTCCTGTGAATGCATGAGCTTTATAGCAATAAACTAAAAAAAAAAAAAAAAAGTAAAAAGTAAATTTTATTTTGTATACTTTACCAAGAAGATTTTTGAAGCAGAACTGAGGGTCCCTGGGAAAGAATGCCAGGACAGGTATATACTCACTGATACGGGGCAGGGTGGCCTGTGTGCCTCCCTCAGTCTCTTATCCATTCGACCCCTGCCATATTATTGATGAGGAAATTAGAACCCAGAGTATTGAAGCAACTTGTTCAGTTGGACTGTCAAAGTGGAGTGTTTGCAAAGGTAATGCTACTATAATTTATGCCGGGAATGAGGGTTTTATCAGGTTAATATTTCTACCTTTGCTCGGGAGAAAATCGAGCTGAGTAAATCATACCGTGGTGACTGTGTCCATTGGGTAACAAGGTTAGTATCAGTATCCTAAGCCTCGCAAGCTACTGCAGTGGTCATGTACCATCTTGCACAGTCATGGCAGAGTTGAATAAGCAGCCACGCAGAGCAGGGCAAGGGACCAGCTGAACCTCAGGGACAACCAGAATCTGGGCTTGGAATGCTGTAGACTCTTCCTCCATGTCCCACAGCTCTATCTGTGTACACTTCATCACAATGACTGTTTTCTTCTTTGTATGTTTTCCTACTGGGAGGCAGACGACAAACAAGATTCACATTTTTGGACTTTGGCCACTAGAGGGAGACTGTATCACCCTCTCCCTACTCTGAAATTTAAAATATCCCAGGCAAGTGCAGGGATTGGTCCAGATGGAGGGAGGGGTGAGGCCACATAAAAACATGGCAGCTCCAGTCAGGAGGCTATGAACAAAGTCATGAAAACACTGGTCCCAGTGAAAGAATTTCTGTGAAGAAAACTGATGTGATAGAGTCACTTAAACTACACATTTAATCACATTCATACAACCACAGGTCAGCTTGATGCCACGGGGTTCTCTCTCACATCATGAACTCAAGGCGATGAACCTCACGTTGCCCCCCTCAGTCTCCACTTCCATATTGTGTTTAGGTACATCTTCCTCATAAACTAAATCTCACCTACCCACGCAAACTACTTCCATGGTGTTCCACAGAAGAACAGAACATGCTATAGCAAAACAGGCCGATGAGAACCAAGACATTGTCTGGGTCTCACAGGATGCCTTCCAATTTGGTTCATTTTTCAAGAGTCATTTGACGCGATATGATATCACCTAATGGTTTGAATGGCCAAGTCTGATGGACTTCTCTAACATTCCCACCACAGCAGGCTTTCCAAAGCTGAACTGCACGTTTCAGGGGAGGGCTCTTCATCTTCGGTTTCATTCCTGGGTGTGACATGAAGTGTTGTTCTCCTGGTCTTGACAAGCTAAGTCATTTGTATCCTCAATATTCCCAGTAATTAAACAAACCAACCCACCAAATGCTAAATGGATAGATTACAGCCCACCCAAGGCTCTTGGGTAGATACAGGACAATTGAGGTGAGACAAATAACAAAGGCCTCAAGCTTCTCCAAAGGTGGTTCTTCTGTTCTAGCTAGGTATTCCTGAGAGAGAACCACAAGGTGTCCTAATTGCAGGGCAAGTGTTTGGACCACCTCTAAAGTACAGCACTTCATAAATCAGTAAGTCATTGTTATGTTCCCTCAGAAAGGAGGCTTTGCAAATAAGATAAAACACCTTAGAAATTAATTGTATTTTTCTTCTAGTAAATAACTTTTTTTGCCTACAGATATAGATGAATGCAAATGAAGGCAATGTGTTTATATTCATAATGGATTTTAAGTTTAACTGGAACATATATTTAACTAGGCCAAGGACCATAGAATGGGGATAATATTTATTATATAGTTTTGCCAGAGATCTCATTTTATCTGAAATAGAACAATACACCCATAACATTGAAAGAAAACAACACATTCCTGTCGTGTAAAACTAGCAGCTCTCTTGTAGAAGGAGATAAAGACCTCAATACTTTGTACAAATATTGCTCATTGAGAAGCGAATATTCCGATGGTACTTGGCCTGTACCAGGCAGAATACTTACAGGATCTTTTTAAAATTCTCATAGCAATTCTGTGTGGTAGATGTTATCTACATTTCGGAAATCTGAAAACAGAAATGCCACACGTTATTTGACCATTCAAGGTCATCCAGATGGTAACCTGCATGACCCACGTCTGATTTTTGTAGCCTCTGCCCTTTTCCAGGGGACCACCCTCCCTGTGCCTTAGTCTGGCAAAGCCAATTCAGTAGTAAATGATTATGTTCAACCCAACCGCTTACAGTAGCCATTCACATCATGTCTTCAGGCTTCCAAAAGAGATTATTATAGTTGGGATTTAAAAAAAAAGATCCCCTTTCAACTTCACATATTTATGAATGTGCCAATGAACACTTTAAGAATGTATCTATCAATATCAAATGTGGTTTTTAGCAGAAACCTTGGGAAAAAAAATTGCAGAATTATCCTCTGAAATATTGCTGCTATTATTTTTTAAAATTGCAAGAAAATGTTCTGCCATTTCAGACCATTTATCTCTGTTAACAAGACACTTTTTTAGTTGGATAGATAATATACACCCATCTGCTGTGCAGTTTCTTCATTTACTCTCTTAATAATAACTAAAGGCATTTCTCCATTGCTTTGGCATTGTCCAGGCCAGTCTCTTGCCTGTCCTGCTGTTGATGTGGGATGCAGAAAATGAGAAGAAATTGGGACCTGGGTATAATACACAGACATGCCATTTAGAACGTCATTTCAGTCTTGAGGAAGGGAACCATGCCTAAGTGTTAATAAAAGCAGAACCTTATTTAAAACATCCCTGGCCATTCCGGAAAGATAGAGGGAAATGTCACAAAGCATTTTTATGTCACCTGCTTTCACTCGAAACCACCCCATTCTCTTTTATTTCATGAAATTCTCCAATATCGAGTCTACATGTTTGCACTTTGTAGGTAATTCTGGTGTCTTTACCTCAATTATGCAGACAAACAAATGTCAAAGAACCAGACCAACTATTCATTTGACTTAAGCTCTGTTTACAACACAATGAAAAAGTAAGGGGCCCAGACACTTTTCTGGATAATTCAAAGGAAAAGCATTCTCTTTAATCTCTTTGATGTTTAATAAAGAGATATTCAGTATCTGCATAGTTGCTTTATTTCTGCGTTTTCCATTTTGTATTTATGAAGTTGACATGTTGGCATACTTTGCCTGAGAATTCTAGACGGATTCTTTTCTTACATATAAAGTGCAAAAAAGCATGAGTCTGATCCTGAAACGCAAGGTGTAATTTCACGTTTTCTCTGCTGTTTTCATTTCTTCTTGTATTTTTTTTTTCTCTCTGGCTCATGGTTTTGTTTTATTTTTCTTTCTTTTTTCTTTTTTTTTCTACTCATTATTCCTAAAGCTGTCTGGCCCTCTGTTAATTGGTTCCATTGAATTTAGTCTATCAAAATACAGTTGAATTCAGAGAAATTTAGTTTTTTGTTTTGGCATGACTGAATGTTTTGTTTTTTTTTTGTCTTTAAGGCATCATTTCTGCTTTGTGAAAATTCATCTAAGTAAAGACTTACTTATTCCAGACATTTCCTGCAGATACACAGGCTTGCCTTCTTCACTCATCAGCTAGGGACACTGTCGTGACCTGACTTTTGTCCAGGCTGAGGAAGGACAGGGAGCTGATGATCCAGCAGCCTATTATTTTGGAAATGGCAAATAACTATGGACCAGCTGAACTTAAGAGGTCATTCAAAGTAATAATACAGGTAAACAAAATTCAGCCAGTGAGGGCTTTGTCTCAAAGCTGTTTATTTGTGTAGACAAAGCTATTTAGTACTGGATACTAAGAGCAGCTGTTTAAGGCCCTTCTGGTTTTTTCCCTTGTCTAAGCAGCAGCTTGGGAAAAACACTCACATGACAATGTATGCCATTCTTATCCTCCTCTCCAAAATGCTGTTGATTTAATTCTTCTTAGGTAACAAGTTAATGTGTCGTTTTTTTTCTTTTTTACATCAATGCTTCTATAAAATATAGTTGACAGACAATAAGCAACACACATTAAAAGTATGCCAATTTTATGCCTATATGTGTATACACACACACACACACACACACACACACACACACAGAGCTTTAACCTAAAATTTCAAAACATCCTGGCTCATTCTTGGATCCATGGGTTGAAATTGACCCTACTTATTATAATGGGACAACTCTCTCTCTCTTCCACACATATGTGAAGAATCTGTGAAAGGCTGATAGAAAATGCGCATAATTTGAGAGATAATTTTTCAGATATTTTTGCATGGAAATAAACTTATACTAACTTGTTATAATGTGTCTGAATAGGATCTAGTCTGAGGTACTAAGAAGGACGATGTCACAAGACATTCACGCAGATATGGGCAGGAATATGAAGAAAGATTTATCGGTGCCAACAGGTGGCATGGTGGTTAAGATGTTGGACTCCTACATGGCCAACTATAGTTCAAGTCTCAGACCTGGAGGCTTGCTTTTTCATGTCTCCCTGATCCCTTTCTGGTGAGCACATGTCCCTATAGAAAATTTAAAAACAATAATAAAGTAAAACTAAATAAATAATTACTTTTAAAAAGTGGGTTTTGGGGGCCAGCAGGTAGCTTGGTGGTTAGAGGAACTGGATTCCCACATGACTGATTGTGGTTTGAGTCCCAGACCTGGAAGCTTGCTTTTTTACTTTCCCTTTCTATCTCTCTCTGGTCAAATTTAAAATAATAATAACAAAATTATTAATAAAGTGATTTTTTAAAAGAAATATTTATCAAGTAAGACTTGATGTTTTAAAATTTATTTATATGTACTTGCTATTTAACAATTTTGCTGAGTTTTTTCCATATAGTTATTTATTATTTCTGTTTTATATATAATCAATGTATTTTTTTTTTTTTTTGGTGTCAACTGTGCTAGTTTAAGATGGCCTGGCATTTGATCAAACACTCATGTAGGTGTTGCTATTGAAGGTATTTTGCAGATGTGATTAACATCTGCAAGTGATTTTAAGAGGGAACAGCAGTAATGTGAATGGGTCTCATCTGATAAGTTGAAGGCCTTAAGTTTCTCAGAATTGTGTTTCAAGACTGTAGAAAATTTTGCCTGAAAATCTTAACTGACATTCCTGTTTGCCAAGGTGCTCTATAGATTTCTGATTTGAAACACCAACTTCAGCTCTTGCCTTAGTTTGCAACCTCTGCCAGCCTGCCCTACAGACGTCAGACTTGCCAGCCCACTAAATTAGGCACAAGTCAATTACTTAAAAATAAATTCTACTTGATTTTATTTTTCTGGAAAATCTTAGCTGTTATAATGCCTTTAGTGTGTCATCGAATCTAAGATTAAAAATTGCTGTGCATTTTTGGAATAAGACCGCACTGTTTAGTTTTTAGTTTCTAAAGCTTTAAGCTTCATCATCAAAGACAACATAGGCTTGGGCATCACATTGCAAGAGTCGTCACTGCTGAATTTAAAGAGTATTCGTGAATTTGGAGAGTTATAACCATAAGATTTTTTTCCTAAGTCTTCCATAGTGTGTAACTAGAATTCGCAACTGCTTAGCGATTGGATTCACTCTCTGTATACATGTCTCTCTATTTACATGTTTCCTCCCTTGGCCTTGTAAATAGCCCAAGTAAATCCTTCATGTATGGTTTATGGGGGTTCCTACTCTCAATTAGTAAGAGCGTCCCATAACGTGACTGTATCTGTTAAAGAAACAACTCTTCTCTCCTCATTAACTCACCACGTCAGAGAGCTCAGTCCTAGGGAAACCCTCATCTTGTACTAGGGTTTCAGGCTGTGATTTTCCCCCCCAAGAACTGAATGATTGTGCTCTTGGGGAAATAGCATCCTCTGTGACAGATTACTTCTTTATTGGGGAAGATGAGTAACACTGACTGCAGCACGGATATCATACTTAAAATCCTGAAGAGGAAGAAAGGCAATAGCAGGTATCACCCAACACCTGTCCGTAAAGCTGATGGTCCATCACACCCAGAGAGTTCTGCAGGAATAATACATTCATTGTGTCAAGGCCACCGAATCCTCCCAAGTTTAATAGCTGCTCCAGACTGGTGGTGCAGTAGGAGCCTCAGAATTCAGATGATTCAGTAGGTTCCAATTCATCCCAAATAAGTGGCTGTCTAGATAAATGAAGTTCATCAAATTGCAATGAATACCATATAACAACCTTGCTGGGATTGCATGCCCCGGGGACATGGACCATGTCTAACTGTGCACTAAGCAGCAACCGATGTGCTAGCGCTTTGCTGTCCGCATTAAATAATAACAATATGACAATGTGTTTGCCCTGAGTCATTTTATTTTTTTATCAGCAAAGTTAATACTTTAACTACATCAATTAAGTCACTTAATTCAACCCGTTAATGAAATGTCCTTATGGAATGAAGTCTTAAAATCATTTTTAAAAAAGCAACAACCAAATGAAACCACACACACACCCCCAAAAAATCATTTTTAATGACCTCTCATTCCTTTTATTTTAAAAAGACAACTTAGATTTAAGTTTTGTTTTAATGAATGATCTGTATTAATGAGGTTCCCCCAGCCATTCAGGGTTCTCTTTGACTAGTTCCTTTCTTCTCCAGCACAGGAGCGACTCACCAGAGAGTCGCACGGTCTAGTGAGAGGAGCTGAGCTCTCTTTGGTGAGCAAACATGTCCTATAACAAATTAAATAATAATAATAATAATAGTGATAAAATTAAATAATTCTGGAAGAAAGAAAGCACAATCGTGTTGGTCCTTAAATAAGATGGGGCTTTGGAATTCCTTAGAGGAGCATTTTGACATGGTAAGGACTGAATCCTCGGTGTTGTCCCCCCTCAGGTTAATGCATGTGATGTGTTGTCCACAAGGTTATGGTCTCCTGAGCCAGAGAGACAAGCTGACCCTGCTCCTTTCAGTGATCAGGGAACAGGCCAGGATGGAATCTGTCCTGCCCTTCCACTCACAGAAAGTCCTTGCACAGAGCTTCCTGTGCCATGTCTGAACAGTGCAACTTCACCCTGCCGAAGCTAAGAAAAAAGCCAAGAAAAAACAAACAGGATGGAACCACCCATGTGGATTTCCAATATTACACCCAGGTCGGTCTCAGACACAAAGTCCCGATCCAACTTGGTCTTTACGAAATACAGAGGATGGATACCTTGAGTCCATGAGATGAAGGTAAAATCACTCAGTGGCAGGAAACCCACCTCCTGCTATGGGTACAACCTCCTTCAGACAGTAATTTTTATGAGTAAATGCCCTGATAAAAAAAGGGAAATAAAGATACCCTACACAAATATGAAGATAAAATTGGATATTATATATTGAAGTGTTTAGAGAAGTTCCTAGAGCTAATTAAATAGTAATTATTTAATAAATGTTAACTATTATCTGTCTACCTACCTATCTATGAGGGAGTCTTTCAAAAAACTCATAGAGGGACCAGCAGTTAGTGTAATGGCTATGTTGCTGGACTCCCATGTAGTCGACCATGGTTTGAGTCCTGGCCCCAGTGGCTTAAATGCATGCCGGGTGCATGTGCACACGTGCCCAAGATCCTGAGAGGAGAATGGAGGAGAAGGGATCATGGCATGGCAATCCCACCTAGGGGGTGATTTCTTGCTCTCTGTCTTTCTCTGTCTTTCTGGCAAGCGCACGTGCCCTATAGGAAAAACCTCTACAAAAAAAAAAAAAAAAATCAAACAACAACAAAAACTCATAGAAAACCTTTCTCCCTGTGATTACATGGGGTCATCCTTCCTGACCCACTTCGGACACAAGGTATAAGCAATAAATTTATAATATGGTATTATGGCAATATGGTATTAATTTGTTACCACCATATTACCTAGCTTAGCCTAGTACAGTTGGTTAGACAAGACTCACTGAACGGGTGACTTTGAGTCACTACTTAAATGGAGTAAGAGAATAAGCAGAATCGTTATCTTTGGACGTCAGCCTACAAATGATTGTTTTCCTATTTGTTTAGAGCCACAAGACCTTGAAGCTCTGTAAGTATAGGGACTGTTTTTTTTTTTTTTTTCTGCCTTTTTAAAATTAAATTTCAGCATGGTAAGAATTCAATTCATCTTTGTGAAATGAATTAGTGAATGAACAAATATGCAGACGAATTGAACAAACAATTGTAGGGACACCAATAATGTACCCATAATAACTGTACTGAAAATGTAATCTCTCTTTTTGGTCTTTTTAAAAATCTCATTCTGCAAATAAAAATGATAACATATATTTCATTAGACGTTTCTGGCTCACAGCAATGTTAATTATAAGACACATTTAGGTCCAGCTACTGTAACACAGAGGCCGTGCAAATGCCCTGTGAGGATGGAAGCCATATGCTTGAACACAGGTTCGAATTCCCCAATTAACCTGAAAGGATGCCATGATGGAGAAGTGGGTCATGGTATGACAAGGCCCTGTTCAGGGAACTTCTCTCTTTCCTGTCATGCATGCGCACATGCTCTCTCTCTCTCTCTCTCTCAAAAAAAAAAAAAAAAGTAATACATTGCATTTACACATAGGGATAGAAGAGTTATATTAGTGCTAAGGAATTGCTGTATATTTCCACTTTATGGCTGCTAATGCATTGCTGATGTCAGGTAATAATGGCTAACATTTATTTTCTGAAAGATGACCGTGTCCTAGCTAAGACTTTCACAGGTATTAACTTATTTAATCCTGGTAGCAGTAGGTTCTGGTGATAG